CCACTACAATATAATGGGAAGTTTTATCCCACTGAAATCAACTCAGTGCACGAGTTTGGTGTTGTGCCTAGGGAGCAGGCAATCACATCTCATGGTCTGGGGTATGAGATGTTCACGCGTGGGGCTGGTGTGGGGAGGAATTTATTGCATGATCCCCATTTACAACACAGATTCCATGGAATTCATCAATAACAGTAATGAATAGCTTTCTGTCTGTTTGCCACAATTCTGCATTGCTCCAGAATTTGGACTGAAAAACGGGATGAAATAATTTAAATGTGTGTACTCATTTCAATAAATGTATGCTCGCATGCATAATATTGGTACCGGGGATTCATCCAAAGTAGGAGAATTCTTATGATTTTGAAATCCTCAGAACAATAAAAGATTTAAACTCACACATGGAGTTAAGGATTCAAAAGAAAGGATGAATTATTTTTATAGTGCAAAAATTCAATTTTGTGCTAAAACCTAAAGAAGAATTCTCTTTTTAAAAGCTGAAATTCTCCAAATAAGCTTGCCAGAGCACTCCAGGACCGCTGCAGGCTAGGTTTCTCCATCTATAGTGGAAAAAATTAACATATAATTAGAAAGATTTCATAAGCCCATTTGTGCCACATTACATGTGGGACCGTTGAAAAGCACTTTGTCATTTTGATGGGCGATATTTGCCTTTCTATCCTACAGACTGAAATAGTTCTTTAGAAGCAATATGTGAGCTACAAAAGGAGCTATTGTTTGATTCTGAAAGACACTTTATAGTCAAGTACAATTTTTGCTCAAGGTTTTATAATGTTCCAACATAACATTAAATATTTAGATCAACACAAGGTGGGAGTCAGATTCTCAATTAGTTATGATTTTAGCACAAAGGGATCCACATTAAGAGCCTGATCTAACTCCTGCTGAAGACTTCCATTGACTTCCATGGGTGTTGCATCAAGCCCTACGAAACAACCACCACTTTCTAAAGAGTGGGGTGAATCCTGAAAAGTTGTGTTTATGCACGTGTTCGAATTCGGTAGTGCTCTTCAGTTCTGCCACATTCCTGACACCTTACTATTCGCTCCTTAAAAAGACTGATGCAAACAGGTTTTGTTCACGTGAGTGTTTGGGCAACAGCCGATCCTCATATACATACTTCTATGTGCCTGAGAGGTTATTTGCGATTCTCCTTTCTAAGAAGGTTCAGTGGCCCAGACATGGAGAACAAGCAACGTCATGTGATTTGGGTGACCAATATAATGAATAGTGAATAGATTAACTGAACCAAACAACCCACAGGCTGAAAACTGTTTGTCCAAACTACCTGGAGAATACTTAAGAATGCATTCATGCACAGATGTCAAGAGCATGAATCATTCAAGGACAGAACAAGCAACTAAATTCCCAGCTATTATGATTCACAGCTCTTAATTTGACCAGCTCCACTTTCTAGCTTGCAAATCAAAGGGAATACAGAACAGGACAGAGCTGCGGTGCCCAATGATATTAACAGGCAAATAAGTCCAAAGAGCTTTTAACATTTAGCCTCACTCAGCACGCCCTTCAGCAATAGCAAATTGCCCTGAGAGCCTATTGTTAGGGGCAGGTCCAGTGATGGCTGGCATCCAAAGGTTAGCGTGTGGGTAGCTTCTTTCTAGGGGATGGAACATTTTAGATACACCTCTGAGTGACTGAGCTATTGACCCTGCTCCTTTGCTCACTGTCTATCTTTCCAGGTGCCCTGTAGCATGAGAATGCTTACCAAGAGTAACAGTGATCGTTTATCCCTTCCTCCTCTGCAGAGCTAGTGCCATCCCAGGTCGTGAGTTCTAGTCTCGACACCTCGTGCACTCTATCTGATTAGCAGACAACGGTCTGCACGACACTTCCAACCATTACAAATCCTCTGAGAAATCACGTATTCACAGGATGCCTCACCTGACAATTTTCATTACATCTGTAGTGACCCATGGAGAAGGGGCAGCTGCACTTTTATTTGCAATGGTGAGATCTTGTGAGGGAAGTGAAGGCCGATTAGGCACAAGAGGGGAGGTGGCTGTTGTTAGTGACTCTTACCGATAGTATGAGTGTTTCTGTGTTTCACTAGCAACCAAAGGATTCCGTTACAGATCCCGCAGCCCAGGCATTCCTGAGGCAGCTTGAGATGCTGGGGGCCAGCTGAGCTCTACAGTCAAGCCACTGTCCACGTGCAGAATAGGACAATGGGTAAACAGACAATAGCAATCTCCAGGTGGTGAATTAAGTGACATGCCACACAAGCAACTCAGCTGTCAAGGCCCAATCAGCTTCTCGACTGTACTTGTTCCTAAAAGCATCTAAAATAAAACGGAATAGAAAGCCACTTCCATATTTATCTGTGGGCCTGTAAAGTTAACAGAAGAGAATGAACTGAAGACTAGGAAACCAAAGCTCTTATCTTCTGGGACTTTGTTTAGAGAGTGAAGGAGAAGCCGTTGCCTGAGGGGTTTGGGGGATTGAAGGAGAAGGACATGCAATGCCAAGCAGGAGCGTGAAGGCGCTGCTGCTGTCACAAAGCAAAGTGACCTTCTGGTTAACAAATAAACATTTCAATAGTTTCACCGTGAGACAATCAGAGCTGTTCTCCAAGTCACAGCTGCTAAGGGCAGAACATTGTAGGCTAACATGACAAATATAATCAAAATTTCCAATTTGCAAGACCAGAGACACACAGGGATTAAGACAGAATTAATTAATAAAAGCAGAGGAATCTATAATTAGCAATAACAATTTCATTCGGCATTTTCACCAAAGGAAATACGGTAAGTCTGCTGTACAGTCTTTGAAGGATCACTTTGTTCAGGTGCCTTTCTTCGGCTCCGTGTTCAATATCTGTTATGTTGCAAATCTGAGATTTTTAGTCAATAGCCATTTTTAAAGAACACATTTTTGTTTTTCTTTCATCAATGCGCTTACTGGGTTAGTAGATTGCTACTCAAGAGTGATGTATTGTGAGAAAAAGCAACAGGGAGGAAAACCAGAGCATTACCAAGTGCATTTGCAAGAGCTAAAACCCAGTGATCATTTGTATTAATGAAAAGAATTAAATGTGCTAGAAATAATTATCAATAGGGAGTGATATGTTACGGTAAGTAAAACTTCTAATTCATCTGATAAACCAAAGAAAGCACAAAACACTGAACCACTGCTGAAATTGGAGTATGTGAGATGAGAACTCCTAAGCCTATATACCCTAGGTGCCCAAATCAAGAGCACCTTATGAAATAACGAAAGTTTTAAGAAGAAAGAACCTGGCTCGGCACACATTGAGGTCAATGGGAGTTTTGGGCACCAGGGGCTTAACGTCTTTTTGTTCTACAATGTCAGCAATTTCTGGGAAAACCCACATCTTCCTTTTTGGAACACTTGACTTCCACTCTGAACTGAAGAAAGAACTTTGTCTGGCTATTAACTGGAATCCAGTACTTTGTTACGATGAAACCATTCTATCAGAGACAGGGTCGGCTCCAGGCACCAGCCTGGCAAGCAAGTGCTTGGGGCGGCCACTCCGGAGAGGGGCGGCACGTCCAGCTATTCGGCGGCAATTCAGCGGATGGTCCCTCACTCCCGATCGGAGCAAAGGACCTTCCGCCGAATTGCCGCCACAGATCGCGATCGCAGCTTTTTTTTTTTTTTTTTTTTTGGTCTGTTTGGGGCGGCCAAAACCCTGGAGCCAGCCCTGATCAGAGAGAATTTATGAAGTATCGTACAGCCTCAAAAGCAAGGCAAGAGGAGCGTATGTGCCAAAACAGTCTACCATGGCTTAAATAGTTCAGAGAAGACTTAAAAGCAACCAAATTTAACATATAACTCACAGTGTGTAACACTCAGAAACAGCTGTAAATCATCACAAATATTCTTGGGGACCTCAGCTTAGTGTTTATAACTTTACCATGGGGGTTGGAAAGCCTTAAACTTGTGACACAGCTCTGAGCCATAAGGCTCCAAAAATGTTTCTTTCAAGATTCTTGAAAACAGGTTTCCCCAGGTATAAATTCTCATTGCCCCTCCTGTATATCAAAGGTTGCACTGTAATGCAGTATTAAAGTTGTCTTTATTATAGATAAAGATATTATTATAGATATTGACTTGCATCTGAAGAAGTGAGGTTCTTACCCACGTACTTCTGTTAGTCTCAAAGGTGCCACAGGACCCTCTGTTGCTTTTTATTATAGATGTCGCACAATGTATATTTTTTATCTGAATCATTTTGTTCACTTTACCGGAAGGTCAAGCTTTCAAAGTCTATCATTTCCAGACCTTTTTTGCAATCAAAACTTTCCACAAACTTGTTTCTGAGCTTAATTTTAAGTTGTTCTGGTGATTAAAACAAAATATCAATGCAGTCCTGAGAAGAATGGCTTCATTACAATAAATGTAACCAATAATTTTGAGTTGCAAGTATCTGTCTCTTCAATTTTTCTCTCATCTAATCTGAGAATACTAGTTTAGTGGGCTGAAGGAGCTAAAATTATTATCAAACTAGACGACATGCAGTACAATTCAGCATTTCAAAAATTAGAAAGCCAGGCATTAGCAAGAAACTACTCCATTTTTCTTTATAGGGCTCAACATCTTAACCTTTTCATAAGGAGTTGTTCAATAGATGGCACCTGTCTTAAATACCTGCATTAATTATTCAGCAGCCAAGAATTGCTCAGAAGGTGCCATTTGTCTATTGTCTCGGTAACAGAGGATTGTAAAACTTGGTCAGAATATATAGTTACACAATAGCATTCTGGTCTATGAGGTACAGATTTGTGTTCGTTAATAATTAATCACAGAAAGGCTAAAAATGTCACCGATGAACCAGAATAGCATCAAGAAGCTATTGTGGTCTTCTGGAAAAATAGGATGTGTGACTAGTTCAGGAATGTCAGCGATGCTGTACATGCACAGTTTGTAAGCACTTTGGATCCTTCAGGACAAAATGGGTAGTAGAAACCGTTATTCGTGAGTGTTACATTCATTCTTACCTTCCTGTCAGCTCCACTTGGTGCAGAGAAGACATACTCCAGCTGGAAGACAATTGCGAACGCTGGGTGACGGACCATCTCGGTCAAACGAATGCGGCTTCTCAAAACCAGAGCTTGACCTACCGTGCTGCGTTGGAATGTAACAAAATGACAGATTAAATGGGGGGCTGTTTATTATAGTCCTGCAGAAATTAGCTTCCAGCTGATCCCAGCTGCATTGCATTCCTTGCTGGTGATCTGTGGGTACTTCATGGCATTGAGCACAGTTCTAGAAATCATTATAAGTTGTTATTTGTATTGTGCATGCATCTAGGAGCCTGGGCCATGGACCAGGACTCCATGGTGCTAGGCGCTGTACAAACACAGAACAAAATGACGGTCCTTGGCCCCCAAAGATCTTACAATCTAAGAGCAAACCTGATACAGACCTTGGGAAACTGCTTCTAGAGTCACTCCTACAAGTTCAATTAATTCACTGACATTTTAACAGTAAAGGCTTAGTACAACCCGAAGAACATGGCTGAACTGTAGTAAGCCAACCACCAGCCCCTGAGAAACATTCTTCTCTCGAACACCCAGACTTCTTGTTGGGGGTTGTTCCACCTCGAAAACACCATGGGCCTTTTTAAGAAAAGGACGAGTCGTTCAGAGCCCCACTGACCCATAGCGGCATGGGTTGAACAGGACCTGAATCTGCAAACTCCTCGGCTCCCTCTGGAGATGGGAAGGAGCTCAGCGCCAGGCAGGTTGGGGCCCAGAGCTGTGTAATGAGCTTGCTCCCTTAGCCCTGCCCATTTTCCAATTCCGATTTCTCAGAACTGAAATCCAGAGAGGGCCGGCAGGGAAGCCGTCTGCCACTCTAGCCCCGTGGACTGCAGCCCATCTGCCCCTGACAAGAGGCTTGACATGGAGCACCGTAGTGCAGCCAAAAGCAGAAGAAAGCAGCTACTCTTCAGCAGTTACTGGTCTCATAGACTCATAGACTTCAAGGTCAGAAGGGACCATTATGATCATCTAGTCTGACCCCCCCGCATGATGCAGGCCACAAAAGCTGACCCAGCCCCTTTCCCTTGACTCTGCTGTTGAAGTCCCCAAATTCTGAGATTTAAAGACTTCAAGTTGCAGAGAATCCTCCAGCTAGCGACCCCGCCCCATGCTGCGGAGGAAGGCGAAAAACCTCCAGGGCCTCTGCCAATCTACCCTGGAGGAAAATTCCTTCCCGACCCCAAATATGGCGATCAGTAGAACCCCGAGCATGTAGGCAAGACTCTCCAGCCAGACCCTCATTGGCCATTGATACTATTTACCAGCGATGGCACGCTGTTGATTTGACTAAAATCACGTTATCCCATTAAACCATTCCCTCCATAAACTTATCTAGCTTAATCTTAAAGCCCGACAGGTCCTCCGCCCCCACCATTTCCCTCGGAAGGCTGTTCCAATATTTCACCCCTCTGATGGTTAGAAACCTTCGTCTAATTTCAAGGTCCTTTCACCTCGTACCTTGGTTTGGCGCTGAGGCCTTGTTTCCTGTGGAAGCTGGCCGAGCGCCCCCGTGCCACCTCGGCCTCTGGCACCAACACCACCACCTGAGGCGTCTGAACGAAGCATAAGCCATTGTGGACCCCGATGTGCAGCCGTCGTTCCTGAATGAGAACTTCGCTCCCATCCACCGTGGAGCTATCCTGGGAAACGGGCCCATTTCACCAAGGTTACATCACAGGCTGAAATAATCAACCCCACAGGAAACACGCAGCAGTGGGCTGGGAGCTGGGCTTCCTCCCCTTCCTCCCCCCAGCCAAGAAATGGCAGTGGAACAATCCTGCAGAAGCTGCTCCATCATTACGGCTGGAGCAGCCTTGAGCCTCCATGGCCCCAGTCCCATCTCCAGCTCTGCTGGGAGAAGCTGGGAAGCCCATTGCCTTAACATTGCGACCACGCCTAGGGATGGGCTACACTCTTCATAGGTCCTGCCTCTGCTGCCCACATCTGGCCAGCGGGGACTCCCCGTAGTGGCCTTGGAGAAGTATCCCTTTCCTTTTTAACATGGTTAAGCATTCAGGGAGTGCTATTCACATCCATGGGACTACTCCTGCGCTTAAATTTAAACACATGCTTAAGTACTTCAATGGATCAGGGCTGAAGCACTTGGCGCCTGGCGAGATTAAAACCCTCAGACGGGACATGGCACAATATGACATGGAGCAGAGCCCTGCAAATCCATTTTTATTTGTGAGTTATGTTTGCTCTTTGCCTGGTTCTCATGCCTCTAGCCAATGAAGTGGCATTTGGAAGATTAGGAAGGAAAATTTAGGCAATTAATCATAAAGTCATAAAAATGGAACCTGCCCCAGAGTGATTGCTAGATATTAAAGTGTTTTATCTTAACAGAAAATCCACAGCAAATATGACAAACTAACAAGGATTTTCCTCCCAGTCATTATTGCTTACTAAATTATATGATATTTGAAAATGAACATTAAACCTTAAAGTTCCTTTATCTTCCCATTAATCAAAACAAGTTGACCAAACTGCAACCTATTAGTGTTTGAATATTCAAAACATAAACCACGGAGAACAGCTTTCTGATGATCAAAAAGAAACCCAAGAAGTAAAATGCTAAAACATAATAAAATTACTTTCATGGTGGAAAATTAGCACACTATCCCTAAAGCAATCTTGTGCTAGTGCCATTTGTATAAACGTTTCTATTCTATACAAAAACAAAGCAATAGCGTTAATGTGCTTTCTCCTTGTTTGCTCCTTAAAACTAAAATAATCGCCTGGTTTTTGTGTCTCTCATTTTAGAAAGTTTCCAAAATAATTTTGTGGAAAAAAACAAAAGTACTGTAGCTGTTGCAAAATATCCAACCAAAAAAACCCCCAGGCCCACTGCTAATTTTAAACCTTTCACATTCCTCCTCAGCTAGGACAGGGTAAGTGGTAAATCACTGTCATGTGAGATGGGCACAGACAGAGGACAATGCAGTTCATTGTGCAAACATGACGTTTTTTTTGCTTCTCTGGTTTTTAGGGATTTTTTTTAATCCTGGGGGGACAATAGTACCGAGAACTGGAAGCACTGCAGAAATAACTCCTCTTTTGGCCAGTGATATTTCTATATTTCAAGGGAAATGGCTGTACTTTAAGTCCCTGAATAATTATTTTAAATACTGAATCAGGAGCTTGTACCTAATCCCTCCTTTTTAGCTACCTGGGGCTTTAATAACAGGATTGTGACTGCAGGGATTTATAACACAAATGCTGTGTGATAACATCAGCTGTAGGCAATGCTAATACCACGCTCAGTGATCTGCTGACTTAGCCAGAAATAAAACTGGCAGCTACACATGCCTATCTTCTACCTGTGTTACCTCCAAATACTGCAGGGGTTAGGCATTTGCACAAACCCCACACTGATTGAGCTGTTCAGGGCAAAGGCTTCTTCAGTACAAGTCCTGTCCATTGTCTGGCGACAGAGTCTGAGACCAGTTGTATCAAGACTAGCCATTGCAGACAGATAAAGTGGCGCCTGCTCACCTTAACAAATGGGAGAAGTATGCCAGAGAAGGACATGCCAGTGCTCACTAACGATCATGTATTGCCAATGCATCTGACGGAGAATCTCCATCTTGTAGCTGAAGATTCCTGGGCCAGACACCATGACTGAAGCAAGGCTGGGGCAGATCATTACAGGGTTGGGAGTCTGAGAGAGAGCCCGGAGGCTTTAGAAAATTGTGGTGGCCATTCACTAGGCAGTGCTTCTTGCCCTTGGCCAGTACTGAGCCAGTGCCTCGCCATCGGCTAAAGGGAGGTTGGTGCAGTCTTTGGGAAAAGATGTAAGACCCAGGTCTTGCTGTCTGTGGTCATTACATTTCCTAAGGTGCTGCTCACAAGTATAGGGAAGTTACTCTCTGGATCCTGGCCAGGTTCTCACTTGGCCAATCATATTGCACCTCCCTACACAACCCTTCAATTAGATACAGTATTCTGCACACCTTGCTTTGGACTGTTGTGTAGCGTTGCTGTGTACTGTTAGACAGCTACCACCTTTCATCCCAGAGTTTGCACTTCAATGACAGGCAAAGTAATTCATAGATATGGTTTATTCAATTGCCAGCAAAGCTATTAATATGCATCTAGATGAAAACCTTCTTATCAATGTCAGTTTATTAGCATGATAAAAATACCAAGATGATAAAGGAGTTACTAATGTTGCCATGATATTTACAGTACCTTAAGTAAACGCTCACTGTTGAGTAAATCCAGCAGCTCTTCCTCAAATTTTTCTAATGAAGGGTACAAATTAATGGAAAGTTTGTCCAAGTACCACGTGACTGATTTCATGAGGTGGGGTTTTCGAAAGAAATCACCTGAAAAGACATCCAGCCATATGTTACACTGCAGTCACCCAAAGAACGTAAAAATATCACAAAATATGGCCTTGATATTCAATCCCATTCTCTGACCAAAGCAGACAATACAGCTGAAATACGTGGTACTCACATGGAACTCACAATAATGAGCCCTCATCTTTCCACAGCTAAAATTAATAAACAAATGCTAACTTTGGGAGAAGTCTATTTTCTCCTTCAAAATGCCTCCAGAAACAAATTCTACAATCTAGTCATTAAAAGACAGTAGATTATAAAGGCAAAGGAACATCTGTTACTTCTTCAGCTTAGTTTCTTTTTACGTCTTATACTCTTCTCCAGCCAGAAAGAAAGCCAGCTGTATTCCTCCTCCTCCTATTACATCTGCTGTGAACCATCCTGAGTCTAACACACTAGGGAAGCCAACAAGTCAGCCCGATAATTTAACTGGTACCAAGGTGGGGAGCCCCAAATCCACCACAATTATCCCTATGCACCCGCTTGAGAGAAAGCTAGAGTGCCACGCAGCAATCTGAGGAGAAGAACGCATAGTCAAGCACCAGCTTGAGCTGCCATGGGCGGAATGCTCTTGCAGTTGCATATTCAAGGAAAGGACAAGGAGGGAATATGTGACAGCCAAAAATATTGGGGGTGGAAGAATAAGCCCTTCTTGTTCCCTGGACTAGCCCCTTCCTGGGTTATTTACTTCCCCACCCAGCTGCATCACCACTTTGTATATGCACGAGGCCACTACTTCCAAAAATGAAATCTACGTTCCGATCCAGAACAGCCAACGAGCAAGAACAGGGTAAGGATGACATAAACTGAATGCAGCTGTCCATTGCCCATCTCTCTCCTGACTTCTGTTGTTCTAGCAGGTCACGGTATCACTAGAGAGTCTCCTTTAGCCCAAGATACCCATTCATCTAGATTAGGGGTTCTCAAACTGGGGGTCGGGATCCCTCAAGGCGTTGGGAGATTATTACATGGGGGGTCGCGAGCTGTCAGCTTGCACCCCAAGCTCTGCTTTGCCTCCAGCATTTCTAATGGTGTTAAATATATAAACAAATGTTTTTAATTTATAAGGGGGGGTCCCACTCAGAGGCTTGCTATGTGAAAGGGGTCACCAGTACAAAAGTTTGAGAACCACTGATCTAGATTAATAGAGGCTGGAATTACATGGCTCAGACCTGCTCCATGAATCCAGACTGACTTTGAGCAGGGTGTTTATTAAATTTGCAGCAGCAAGCAAAGAGTTTTGAGCCAGAGAGATGGGAAGTAGTGGATGTTTAAGAGAACCTGGAAGAATTACTTTGACCGACCCCCTCAACTTTGCTGGCAGTAGCAGGAGGAGGGATCATACTGGAGTCCTTTAGATAGGAAGGGAAACACATGCTTCAGATAACCCAGACAAGCAGCTACTCTATTGTACAGAATTACATTTCACTTACCGAGACTGCCTGGGGGGAAATGCCAGAAAGGATAAACCCAACTCTAAGCTGTGCAAATTCTTTGAGTGCAGAGTGGTAGAGTGACAACAGCAGACTTAGAAAGTTTTGCATGGCAGGGCTTGGAAGGAAAACTGAACTTGAGTGACCCCATACTCTACTCTGTTTTGGCTTCACTTTGCTAATGGGCAGAGAGCCAAGCTAGGCTCTGTGATGATGAAAGACACAGGTTGAACCGAGGGTCACAGGAAGGGCATGAAATATGAAGCTATATAGAAGAAACAGTTAAAAATGGAACAGCCAGTCTCTAGCATTGACAACTGCAACCAGGACCTTTCCAAGCACCTACGCAAACAGACCAAGGTTTCATGCAAATTTAGAAATTCAGAGATCATTGCTAGATTAAATATGCAAATAAATGGTTCATTATTTATCTATTTATGCGTAAGTATTTCCATGGATCTTGGTACTGCAGGGTCCCACCAAGTCCACCATTTCCAAATTATTAAAATAATATCAGTAAGTCACATATAAATATCCCTTTGTCACCCCAAGAGAGCTGGACTGTACAACTCTTACTCTCCTGAGTGAGCATTTATTCACAAGAGTAGTTCCTCTGACTTCGTACTTAAAAACAAACCCTGAAGCCTATAAAGGGCCTGACAATAGAATTCAATAATACAACATCTCAGGGCTAGTCAGAGCTGCAGGAGCTGTGAGGAATGAGGGAGTTCATAACAAATTAGTGCTAGTGAAGCGAGAATCTGCCTTAATTTGATTTTAGAAACCAAATATACCTTCCTGATTTCATCTACTCTGTTATCTGAAGAGTCAGTCTATCAAATTACAGGGTACATTTTGTTTAAACTTCCCATTTTAAACCAATTTCAACCACCCTGTTCCTTTATGTCCAGCTTCCAAGCGAAATTTATTGCTTAATTCTTTTGCTTAAGGCAGGGGAGGGGAGTAGAGCAGAAAGAAGCGGAACTTGTTAACTTTTCCAGATAAAGCTTTTCTCGACAACCAAACAGCAAGAAATCACTAGCCTTGTTTTAGTAACGTTGTTAGGCTTTTAAAAATGAATTAACTAACTGAAAGCAAAGATGTGACAGGGAATAGGCAGGATGAACAGCTCCATGCTTGTGTATTGGTGGGCTATTTGGTAATAACACTACTACATTTATACTGAAGTCAGATGTTTACAAATATCCCTGACTAACCTCATTCAGGGCCCCAGTTCAGCCAGAACTTAAGCACATGCCTAACTCTTAGCATGTGAGTAGCCTCACTGAATGAATGACTGAATTAAATTAAATTAAATTAAATTAACTGAAAGTCAAGATGTTAAAGGCAATAGAAAGGATTTCCATGGGATTACTCACAGGTTTAAAGTTAGGCATGTGCTTAAGTACCTTGCTGACTTGGAGTCAGAGAGCGATTGTGTCTCTCATCATTGTCTTCCATCTGCAAACTGCTTCACTTTCCACTGCTAGTCAGATTCAGAGGCCACCCCTGGCAGGCTGCAGCTGATCAAACTCGGGTTTATGGAGGCTGACGACTGTGTGAGTGTGACTGCAAGAGGCTGCGTATTGCTAACTGTGTGGCCATGGGCTTGGGGAAGGTGTATGGAACTCAGCTGGACTTACCCTTATAACACATCTACCTGATGCACCTTTGCCGCAGCTGAGCTGTATGTAGGTGAGCAGTGGAGATGCGCAGCCCCAGGTGATCAGCTGGTGTCTGGAAGGAGGATGCTGAGTGCACTTCCTTACCACCAAGCAAAGAACCATTCTTCCTCTGCATGACGGTTAGTGTCTATCTCCCCGCCACACTGTACCTACCCTGTATACCTGAGCGGCTGATTTAGGGTTATGGGGGAAAACAAAGAGGAGCAGGAAGCAGCGAGCTAAATTTTCCCTGCAAGGTACCTCTCAGACTATCAAGGTACTGGTTTGATTGTTTGTTCTGCCAATTGTTTGACTGGTAGCTGAATTTGCAGGTAAAACCCAGCAGGCAGATTGGTAAGGCTTTGTGTGACTATAATGCCTAAAACACAGTTCCCCTCGTCTGCCACAAGATGGGACTGATGCTCTGCAGCGAGAGGCAGAGCTCAGCGGATGTATAAGGATACTGGGCTATACACTGAGGAAATCATCTAAAGACGCAGGGAAATGATGTCTCCCTTCTGCTGGCAAGAGCCAGGAGCTCCAAAGTCTGGAGCAACGGGAGAGATTGGACAAGAAAATCCTTTGGAGACATGCATTATGAGGAGTGGCACTACTCCAGCTTTTCGGATTACTGGCTCTTTACTAGGCACAGTTAATGCACTCACAAGGCAACCGGGCATCTCCAGAGCTGTATTATTGCAACCATGTCATTGTGAAGCTCTGCACGTGGTGACTGTGGCTCTTGTAGGGAGCTCCTTTGCTCTGGAGATCTCACATTTTCTGATAACATGATGGCTGTGTCCTCAAAGAGAGGCATCCATGGGAGTTATTATTAGAAGGATCTTCTAAGCAGAGGAAGTCACCACTGAAGAACTGATGATCTTGTCTTTATCCCTTAACTTTTCTGAATCACATGGATTTAGCCACCAAGCCACCACTGAATGCAGAACTCTGAAAATTCATGGGTAAAGATTAGTAAGGCTTCGGTGTATCAGAATCATATCCCACTGCCCTTGCCAAATCTCCACTTATCCAGAACAATGCCGTGAACAAGGATAACTTTGATACAAGCTATAAACATCTCTCCTAAGGCTCCACTAACTGACTGGCTACTTAAAGCGTCCATCATTCATCCATAGCAGTTTACCAGGAAGAGAACCAATTAGCAAAAAAGGGGACTAGATTGAAATGATTCTATGTCCCTTTTAAGGATTAAAGATACAAACTGTTGTGATTACATTTGTATGAAAGACAAAAATTCCAAAGAATGTATAAAATACTTCCAAGATATTTAACCTCAAGAAAACAGTATAACTAGAGAGAGGCAACTGGAGTCTGAAACGAGAGAGGAACAGTTTAAGTTAGACATTAGGAAACCTTTTATTTTCCCAATACGAGCAAATAGCCAGTGGAGTCGATTCCACAAGCACCATTCATAGATGTTAAGGCCCAAAGCGAATTTTCTGATCATGTAGACAGACTTCCTTCACAACACAAGCCGAAGAACCTCATCCACTAATTTCTGCATCAAACCCATAATTTCTGGTGAAGCTAGAGTAGATCTTTCAGGAAGATAACCTGCGATGGAAAATCTATCACGTCCCCAGGAATCCAAGCTGGTCCAATGGTTAATTACAACTGTTAACATTCCATCAACTGGATAGATCAGACACTTGGAAGAAACTGTCCTTTGAAATCCCAGGTTCAAAGGGAGACCTCAGCCCCACAATAGTTCTGGTCCTATTAGTCAGGCATCTGTAAAAGCAAAGCCCGGCATGCTGCCTGGGAACAAGGACGTTATTTCAAATAAGCGACGTCATTTTGCTGGGTCACTGTACGTTCCCCTGAGGTTTCAGATTAGCTTTTGGGAGCTCAGGGTGAGCTTTACGCTACCAGATCGTTTTTTTCTTTTTATTCCCCAAAGAACAATTCATTCTCTTCACAGCGGGGTTTCTCTTAAATTACAAATGCTTTTAAGCTGCATATGTCATTGCTCGTGTAACTATTTGAGTGTTACATAGTCCTGCTTCCAGGCACTGGAGAGCTGGGCTGGGCTCACTGTCAAATGGTCAAGCTTATTCAGCTCCCGGTGGATGGTTAAGGTTTTAAGAAATGAGATAATTTACGAGAAGGGGATGAATGGCTGGCTACCCCTGCTAGCCCTGTATTTTCTCTTACCTTAATTCCCTTTGGCACTTTTTTCACCAAACCATTTCATCCCCTCCTCCTCCAGAACAACTTGGGGTATGTCTCCAACAATTTACACTCTTTGCTTCAGCCTGCTCTCAGGGCAATTTATTCAATACCCTTTGCATGAAGCAATTTAAGCCAAATTCCTCATTGACTCCTACGTGCCTTCTCTTCATTATTATTATTGATGTGCAGTGTCGTAGCACCAAGGGGCCTCAAACACTGCGCTAAGTGCTGTCTCTGTAAAAGACACGTGTTGACCAGAAGACTCCAGCCTTCTCAAAACCATACGACGGGGGGGGAAGGAGGGTGACAAGTTCTCTACTACTTTGATGTGCTACATTGATGAAAGAGGGAATATGTCTAGAGGTGAAAGCAGGAGACTGCGAACAGGGAATACTGCGTTCTAATTCTTCCTCTGTCACTATCACTTCACCTCTCTAATGCCTCAATTTACCCAGCTGAAAATGAGGATATTTACCTATTTCACAGCGAGATTGTGAGTCTCAGCTAATTAATATCTGTAAAGAGCTTTGAATCCTCTGATGAGAGGTGTGACATACATTCAAGGAATCATTATTTCTCGTCACATCCACAATTGCACTCACTTTCCCTTTTCCTGTAGATCCATTTAGCAGTCTCTGTGCTATCATTTAAAACACACTAGGACAAACTCATCCCTAGTCTCGTTCCCATCACTTCAGAGCTGATTCACCAGGGATAAGATTAGCCCAGAGTTAGGTCATTTATCCAGCACGCCCCCGTGCTTTCGTTCCCTCTGTGGAGGAGACAGATGCTAGCAGATGATTCATTCCCAGAAGTGGCACCTGATGCCTTGTCAGGCTGCACAAGCAGTCGTGCGGATGTCACGTATGGGGCTGCGATATGTTTAGGCTGTTGATGGGCTTTTTTCAGCTTCTGTTAACTATCTTTATACCTCTTTGACTTTGCTGTATTAACGGGCTGTAATACGTGATGATATCAAGCCATATGATTGATCCACATGGACTACTGAGCTTTTGCCTCTCCCATTTCTCTCTCAAAAATTTCCCACAACTGATCTTATCCTCTTATTATTATTCTATCTTCCCTTCCCTCCAACTCCCCATTCAAAGAACAGGCAGAGCAGTTTGCTTATTTTCTTTTGTGCCATTCTCAGTGGCTTTTCAGGAAAGCTAATGCCAAAGAGGTGGGTCCTAAATCTTTCCCTGAAAGCCGTCAGACTTTCATCCTCAGCTCCTGGGGCAGCCAGTCCTCAGCACACTGGCTGGCTGCTGAAAGGTCTGTTCCCAGTCCTACTATGATCAGCCTCTCTAGTAAGAGTTCCTTTGTCCCGGAGGAGATCTCTTTGGGTATGCATTTCTTTCAGTGGAATGCCCATTCCAGTTTCCATCCTATACCAATTGGTCTCTGTGCTGCATCATTCCCTGCCTCCTTGCCCATCTCTGCTCTGTGACTGTGTTTGTCAGTTCAGATCCACAAAAGCGAGAGGCACAGACTGAGAACTAAAAAGAAAAAAGAAAACTAAACATCTGTGGACATTAATATCTAAGGTGACTTTTACCTACAGGCCTATTCTGCAATCCTCACTCACCTAATCAGTCCCACTGGTTAACACAACTATTACTATGATGAAGGGATGCACGACAACCCCTCATGTGTATTTAGTCACAATCAGCGCTATCTTCCCTCCCATCACTTGGATCAACAGTCCAGGTAAAGTGCCCTAATTAAAAGAGGCCAGGCAATAAAGGACACGGCTTTAAGATGTAGCAATAAACATAAGATCTTGTTGTAAAATCATGAAGAACTCAGGTATACTGTAACCCATTAGGTCTTATTTTTTGCCATTGATTTCTCCATATAATTCATAATAAAATAACATAACTTAGTCCAATAAAACCAGCACAGACTCTGCCTTGCTCCAACAGGCATCAGCAACTCAAGCAGATGTTGATTCGTAAAAACTGGCTGAGCAGTTCCAATGTTCCATCAGCAAACTATCAACTGTTATTGCAGGGTCTCTATTTACAAGCAAGGGATACGCTGCAGCAGTGAGACATGAATAATTGATCGTGCTGTTTGTTAGCAGGCTCTGCTACCCCAGTCAAAGCAGAGCTAATGTTCCCTGCAGCCAGAGGGAAGTCGCATGAAAACGATTCTGGCAGGAACACGTGCTGTGGGTCTGGGGTGGGGTTATGGCTCCGGGTCACAATCACTCCCTTCTCGGCTGAGATTGCAGAGGCACTAACGGAAGGAGAAACTAGATTTGTGACCCTTATTGATGGTGTGTTAGCCTCTGTCCTGACAATTGGCAGGTCAAGGGACTGAAACTGGCCTGAATTATCTCCCCCAGACTCATTAATGTGGATCTCCACCCACAACCCCCTTCCTACATGGAAGGAGGCGAGCTCAGCTGCTTATCTGGCACCATCCCCTGGGTTACATGAAGGCTGGTCTGCACAGGGGAAGGTGGGTAGGGGAGAGTGGGCAGGGCAGAGAGAGGGCTGCACACAGTCCCACTCTCTCGCCCAATGGAGTCTAGGTGAAAAATTAGGGGCCAGGGTTGCATTAGCTTTTCTGTAGAGCCCCAGAATCTGGGGCCCAGGCACTGGAGTGGCAAGGAGAGTCCCAAAGGGCCATGGTGATGGGGGTGCATGCAAGGGATACTGAACCAGACCTGGTGCAGAGACGCAAGACTCCGAGCAGATGGCTCTGACCTCCCAAAGTACCTGGGGGCATTCATGAAGTTTGGCTGCATTCCTTGGCCTATCCATGGGAAGGGTGGCAAACCCCACTCCCACCCCCAACAGAATAAGAGGCGCACTGGGAAGGGATCCCACAGAGATTTATCCAGGGATGGTCCAGGCTTTCATTATCACGTGTTAGTGAAAATAAATGCTTCCCAACTGCTCTGCAGTTTAGCATTTTACAAGGGAACGCTCCCTAACCTCCTTGTTTATTGGAAAGAGGCTACCAATGATGAAAATGTAGAACATTGTGTACACAAAGCTGCTGCCTTTCAGAACAGCAAAACATCACGTGTCCATAAAAACCCACAAGAAACCCAAGGAAATGTCCACCGGGAGGTGACACAGGCTGCAGAAAAGCAGGCACAACAGACTCGTCTGCAAGTTGTTTTATTAGCCATCGACAAGGTTGGCTGCCCCTCAGCAAAGAGCTGAGTCAACGTGATTCTTGCTCAGATGGCCACTGAGAGAGAGAATTTATGTGAAAATCCTGCTTCTCTTATTTATTTCTCAGAGGAGGTGTCGCTGTGGCTCTGTTGTGGGTGAGCACAACATTTTCACGGCTAGATTTCTCATTTATAATCCCTAATTATTGGCACTTACAACAACAGCACACGCTGTGCGTCACACACTCTGTGTTGCAGGCACTGCTTGCATCTATTCAGCGCCTTGGTAATTGATGTCCTGCGTTAGCAGAGGAAAGCGAACGCATGTGTAATAAAGCCACATTCACTTTGAAATCCCTTCCCCTTGAAAACACCCAGATGAGCACATTATATGCTAGACACAGGAAAACACTGGAAAATACTCCTCTTTATTTAACAGCAGCAACCCGACTTTTCTAGCTGGCCTAAGCGGCCCCTTCCCCTTCAGAGTAACAGTACTGGGGTGGAGAAAACTGTAACATTTCCCTGATGTCTCCCTTATGCCTTCTGCGCTGCTACTATTCCTCCGGGTGCCAAGGAAATGTGTGTCTTTGTCTGCTAGGCTGTGGCAGGCTTTTCTTGGGCCCCACATCTGGCACCTGGTGTTTTTAGCAGGAGCACACTAGTTGTGTTGTAACGAGAAGCAGCTGGTGCATTTGGCAGCTCAGGTTTGACCACAAACCAGCCACAGAAGATGTGTGTAAACGTAAAATGGGTGGGTCTGAATCACCTCCGGCTCCCATCAGCATGAGCCCCTTGGCCTTCCTGGAGTTGCTCCCACTTTGTGAGGGGGCAGTGGCTGGGAGAATCAGGCCCTATAAATAAATACATTTGTGCCGTGCAGTGCGTTCTGGGCACCAGATGTTCTGCAATAATCCCTCCCCCATCCCCTTCCCTTCTCTCCATTTCCACAGCCCCTCGCCCACTCCCTGATTGGGGGACCAGAGGTCGGCTCGTCTCTTCCCATCCCACAATGGTCACACTGGCTGGTGTGTGTTTCAGATCTCCCTCCGGTAATAACTGGTGGGTGGAGAAGACCTGGGGCCTGTCTCAGAGAGCTCACAGGGCTTTTTTCTACCAGTAAGATAAAGTCCAGCTGAATCCCCAGATCTGGCAGGCCAAGTCCATAATAATACAAATGCCCACATATCTATAAGCCAGCAGAGTAACTCACGAGCACTATAGCTTGGTGTGTGTGCTAGGCCAACCTTACTGTCCTGTGGTCTGATTTACACATGCAGGAATCAGAATGAAAGGATCCCTTACTTGTTTCTCCATGTGTTAGCAGCAAGCCAGGAATTTTCTGCAGCCCAGACACCAGCATATTCTCAGGGAAGAGGTGATACACGGTCTCGAGGGGCGGGTGTGGCCTTAAGGTGTACTGAAGGTGAGTGTTCTCTATCACCGTCATGTATTTATTCTCTAAAGAGGGGAAAACATTATGCAATATCTGAAAACACAGAGAGACAGACTTGCAATGGTGCTGCCCGTTGGAGAAGCTGATCGAATGATGGTATCAATACATGCCCACTTCATCAGCAATGCAAAACCTGTTTTTAAAAAGTCTGTTTTCTTCATTAATGAATACGCAGCCTTTTCAGGCTTAGCTTTGTTAAGAGTTCTGGGCTTACAAATCCTCACACTGCAACTTCAGGGTAAGTGAAAACAATGCATAGGCTCTGGAAGATTATGATTAAGCAACTTAAAATTACTTGGATCTATTCTCCCTCAGCTGTGAAGAAGTAAGAAGAAAATCCATCCCTTCTTCAATAGCACTGCAACTAAATTCTCTTGTTTAGGTTGCTCCTTAATCTTGTGTGTTCTATTCAAGTCCCCATCTAGGCAAATCTTCAAAAGACCAGCATCTGAGTCCCACTCAGAAAAGAACAGGGCCTGCACACAGCTGAGCTGGGGTGCATTATGGTATTTCTGTATCATCTTAGTTCACAGTGAAAGGCAAAATCTTAATCTATAACGGCTGGCAAAGGCTCCCTGGGACACTTGTTTTAAATTGAACTTCCCGAAACTTCTTGTGCCAACTTTGCTCCCTCTTCGTAGTAAAGCATGAGATGGGACTAGTGAAACTGGCTGCATCTCCTGCCGTTTCACTGCATGCATTCAGAAGGGCGACCCTTTTATCTTTCTGCTGCACATCTTTGTGTCATGATGTCAAGTATCGGGGGTAGCCGTGTTAGTCGGTATCTACAAAAACAACAAGGAGTCTGGTGGCACCTTAAAGACTAACAGATTTATTTGGGCATAAGCTTT